GCAACCTTGTTGTTACCTTTCGACCCCAGTGTTTACAACTTCTCTTTCTCTGACAGTGTTATTAATTTGATGAAGTAGATTCTAATCTACAACAATTTATGCCACAATAAATAAGTTTTAGTGCCATCCTCAACAGAGTTACATCCATCTAAGTCCATTACACTTAGATGGGCATAACTATGTTGAGGATGGTGCTATTAGTCTGTTACAACAAAATAAACTTAAAAAGTCATGTGTCACCTTACTTAACTAACATAATTATGCTTCTGGAATACATGAAACCCCAGAAGTACATGGAAGTTTTTCTAAATAAACCTTGGATGACTTCCTTCTATAATGGAATTTAAAGCAGAGGACTGACTAGCTGCATAGTAAAGAGAAAGAGAGGCTATGCCATAAACAAGGTTACTCATGTTGAACAATAGAAACAGTCAATTGATATATAAGCTTAGCATATGTTGCTGTTGTACAGAGCTTGGTACTGGCTGTTCTTAACCAACAGATAGCCAAATAAAGACTTTTATAATTTCTCCTTACTACCTTTATATCCAAATGAGCCACCCGACAATTGTGAAGGTATTGTAAGGCTTCCGTTGTGTCTCTTATGTAGAAAGCTACTTTCTCCTCCATAAGTTCATCATGATTCATAAGGTAGTCCAAGAGACGACCATCATCCATCCTAAATCCCAACAAAAATCCACCATGAAACTACAAAGAATCACTAACATCTGAACATGCAGTTCAACTCTAAACATAAGTGAATTTTTTAAAGGAAGAAGACCTTATCTACAGGTATATACATTTATCTATGGGTATATACATTTAAGAATACATTTAAGAATACTAATTGCTCATTCCTATTATTAAAATGTAACAAATACCCTTGAACATTATTTGTATTTAGGTTTTTGCTGTTTCATGATGCCCTTTTCCCATTGTTTCCATAGGTCCCACCACCATAGAATTCATGGCCATAACTTTGACATTCACACACCCATCTTCCCATATTATTCTTTCCTTGGGGAAATTAAATGGTTTCAATGAACATCATGAGATTTGTGATTCAAAACATAAATAAAACCCTCATTATAAAGAAGTAGCTTCGCTTCCATCAAAGGGACTTACAATTCCAAAACTAAGATATAGCAGGAGGGTGACTCATAGATATCATGAATAGTAATATATTGGGGATGCTGCAAATGTTGCAACATGGCTGCTTCATGTGCTGCCTGCTCCTTCTTCTTCATTTTTTTATTGATGAATTTCACTGCAACATCTTTCCTAGTTGCTTTGTGAATACATTTCTTTACAACAGCAAATCGCCCCCTGGAAGAGAAGCAGAATGAAGATAAGCTGTGAATACCTCATTTGTTTATTCATTTCTACCCTGCCTTTCTCACTGAAACTCAAGGCTTTTCGAACCAGTTCCTTCATGTTGTACAAGGATGTTGAGTTGTTTATCATCTCCCTTTCTTATTGTGCAGTTTAGATTCTTTTGAGATTACCTTCCAGTTTGGACTTTGGAACGAGCCTTCTCAGTGGTGGTGCCGAAACTTGGGAACTCCCTCCTTCCTTCCACTAGGTGAAGATTTTTTTTGTTTGGCGTTCCCTCACTCAGTCTTTTTAGACCTCCTCCCTGTTTGTGTATTGTGTGTGTATGTGTGTGTTTTATTACATTGTTCTAAATATGTATATATATGTATATATATATTTGTATTTTAAATACTGTTTTAATGCTTGAAATGGTTTAACGTTTGCTACCTTGAGGACTCTGAGTTGGGTATAAAGGCAGCATAGCATATATATATTAAAAAAAAACATACTCCTTTGTACAGTAAATCTACTACAGTGATCTTTAATGTTGTACCTTGAGCTTGATGATTGACTTTGGAAAAATAATTGCCAGAAGAATAGCCCAACCATCTCGGCTACTTTGGACACAATGTTCCCTCTAAGCTGTGGAGTCTTGTGAGCAAAAGTTCTACTTTCTGAGCTAGTGGCATTAAAGTTGTGAGCGAGCGATTTGGCTACTGCATAAATCAGTTTGCTCTGGAGCCATCCCTTCCTGAGCTAAGACAAAAACGTGTGAGCCGGAGGCTAAAAAACTGTGAGCTGGCTCACACTAACTCAGCTTAGAGGGAACACTGACAAGGACCTTAAGAGTCCTGTGCTTTTGTTCTGTCCCTGGGCCTGCTAAATACCTATGTTCGAGCCAGAGCTTGCTTGGTTAGGGATGCCAGTCCTCAGGTGGGGGTGGGGATTCCCTGATTTCAGGGGTTCCAGCCAGCTGGCTGGGGGGGGAAGCCCCACCACCAACGGCGACCACCCATGGCCAGCCCCCTCCCTCTCCTCCTGTGAGATTTAAAGGGCCCTCCAGCTGATCAGCGGGAGCACGTGGCCTGCCAATTAGCTGGAGGGCTCTTTATATCTTGCAGCAGAGGAGGGAGAGGGGCGGCCGCCACCCACACACCTGAACTCCAAGCAGCGAATTTGCTCTCGGAAAGCATTTAAAGAGTCCCTTTAAATGCTTTTTGAGGAGCGGGGGCCTCACATGCCTGAATCCCAAGCAGTGAATTCACGGCTTGGAATTCAGGTCCACAAGAAAACATTTAAGGGGACCCTGAACTCAAAGCAACAAATTCGCCACTTGGGATTCAGGTGCGCCCTGCCCCACCAGGAACTGTCCCCAAGGTCCTCCACTGTGGAGGAGGGAAGACCTGGCAACCTTGAGCGTGGTGTAGAGGTTAAGAGCGGTGGACTCTAATCTGGAGAAGCAGGTTTGATTTCCCCGCTCCTCCACATGAAGCCTGCTGGGTGACCTTGGGCCAGTCACAGTTCTCTCAGAACTCTCTCAGCCTCACCTACCTCACAAGGTGACTGTTGTGGGGAGAGGAAGGGAAGAAGGCGGCTGTAAACTGCTCTGAGACTCCTTAAGGTAGAGAAAAGCACGGTATGAAAACCTTTTTCTTCATGTGTCCTAATGTTTGCATGGGACCTACATGTGTGAAGTCCAGTGCGCGTAGGCCCAGATGGCATCATCGCTTCCTTGATTTTGTGTGGGTTTGTCCACAATGGCTCTGTACTGTAGATATATACTTCATAGGTCCATATATTGTATTTTGGGGGACCAATTAACTCCAGTCTTTCTGGAATTATTATACTAACTGGCACAGATGAACTTACGATTCCATTATTTTCAGGGGGCCAAGTCCAGACCATTTTCACAGTTTGTTACATTTTTTTCTATCAGAGTGAAGAATGCTTCTTTCTCCCTCAGTGTTTTGTCTAGCTTTTTTGTAAGAGGAAGGTATTTTAATTTGTTCCAGAGTACACAGGATTCAAATAAAAGGAAATAAACATGGGGAAAGGTCCTACAGATGACTCATTTCTGACGTTTCAAAAAGTTATGTTGCAAGTACCATTGGGCTGCTTGTAACTGAGTTACATTTTCCAGGCAAATCAGATACAGACAGCTAGTTTTCTTGTGTGATGTTCTATGAGATTTCCTTCTTTAGCTTTGTAATTTTATTTATACATAATAATGTGGAAAATTACTATCTGTGAAAATGGCAGTTCAGTAAAATATTTACAGATTGTGAGATACTGACAAAATCTGGGCATCGTTTTTGGTATAGCTGCTGCTATATAAAGAAGGCACAGTTCATTACCCATGGGCATTGCTGCATGGAGAAATCAGGACTGTCATAGGTTTCTCCCTGGTTGTGCATGCAGTGCAGTGTATCAGACATCACATGTAATGAATAAGAGTTTTCCATTGCCAATAATTGCATGCATATTCAAGAACCAGCCAGGGAGTGATAGAGACAAAAAAGGGGCCCATTGTACCCTCTTCAATGCTTTTGAACCCACAGGGGATGGATCATGACCCAAGCAGGGGTAATTTCCTGTGGGAGCGCACAGGAGCAGAGCTCCGGCAGTAAGGAGCCCAGGGGGTGGGCACATGCAATAAGCCCCACCCCCTGCTCCCAGCAGCCCTCAGTCAGGCCACGAGAAGCAAGAAGCAGCCAGGTAAGTTGCAAAGCCCCCCCCAGCCCACCTTCAGATACAAGCTCTCCTATGTGAGGACAGATCTGCACATCCCCCCCCAATAGCTAGCAATCCAAAATAGTCCAGTGGAGCCTGAGCGGTGGGTGTTGCCTTCTGACACACGTCCGGTGATGTCAGGCTGTGTGGCATAAATTATGCTAATGAGCTCCTGCACCTCTTTTTCTGTGAAATGACCCCTGGACCCAAGTATAGTTCTTAAGTATTTTAATGTGGGTTGATGAATACACATGAGCAACTCTAGAAACACCACACAAGTTTGTGCTCCAATAAGGAAAAGTCAATAATTTGAGCTACATTAGCAGTTCTTCAATTACTAAGGTCTAGAAGTGAAAATGTGGTCTGGTTCCCAGCCATATAAGATACCCATTGGAAGGCAGATAAATGGTAGCAGGCAGCGCATGTAAGAACAGAATTAACCTAAACCTGTCAGCTTGGGAGGCTTAATAACTCAGTTTTAGCATCAAGACTTGCATGTGCTAAAAAGTAATCAAAGATTACGTAATTTACAACCAGAAAGTTCATAATCACGTTACCTCAGCCTCCTTTCCCCCCAGTGTAGTCAGTTTACATACTATTATGCAACTCATCAAATCGTGACCAAACACCCACATGAACGGGTCCAAAATCTCTCTGCCACAACACTTCTAACAAATGAGGCTAAAGAGTTCCTATGAAAGGAGTGATCCTTTTTATCAAGTTTTTCTAAAAGAGAATGTTCATTACAGTTGATTTTGCATTTTGAAGAAACAATTCATTTTAGTATTACCTGCCAATCTCATTCAGCTCTGCATACGCAGACTCAAAGTTCTCCTTCCATGTAACAGTGGCTCCATCTGCTGCAGAGTCTTTGTAAGACAAGGGAAGCGGGGAGGGGGGGGGACACAACAGTTTGCATGAGAAAATAGAGTCAGTGACACATTGTATGTATTAAAACGGAAGGGCCTTTAAAAAGAGAGAGACCTGAAATGCACAAGCAGTGGAGACACTGCTTTCATTCTTTGTGTTCTTCACCTGCACCACAGTTTATGAGAACACCTGATTTCTGATAACCGTAGGTTGTTGTGTACACAGGGAAATATACAGTGGTGTTACGTTAAAGAAATCTTATTCAGTAGGTTTATATTATCCAATGTTACTGGTACGATTGTCCAGTAGTAGCATCCTTCTGGGACAAAATAATAGAAGAAATAAGGATCATAACTGAACATAAGATAGATAAATCCCCGGAACCACTACTTCTAAACCTCAGAGAGGAAACCGCCCTATCCACTACACAAAGGAAAAGAAACGTCTTATTACTATTTGCAGCCAAAACCACAATAGCATCTACATGGAAATCCATAAACAATCTAAATGTCATCCTCTGCTATAAAAAACTTTGGAACATATACATAATGGAGAAAACAGACATTCTGAAACAAAACAAATCTAAAGGTGAACACAATGATATTACAAGTTTATGGTCTCCCATATTAGCACATCTAACCACTAAAGGAACATTACCTGAATACTCTTCACCAATATTCCCTCTAAGCTGTGGAGTCCTGCGAGTAAAAATTCTACTTTGTGAGCTACTGGCATTAAAGTTGTGAGCAGGTGATTTGGCCACTGCATAAAATAGCTTGCTCTGGAGCCATCCTTCCTGAGCTAAGACAAAAAACTGTGAGCTAGCTCACACTAACTCAGCTTAGAGGGAACACTGCTCTTCACCTCATTTAGCAATCTCAAAAGGTATTATAGACATACTGTACAGACAGCATGTAATGGAAAGTGTCACTTTTTAGACTTTTTAGATTAGACTCTAAGCTCTCATGTCATAAGGTTTGACTTGTAAGACACTGGAAAACAGCACCCTTAGACTAGACTATATGGAGCTATATTTATTTGTATGCAGGGCTATTTTTGGGCAGGAACGCACAGGAACGGAGTTCTGTCTGGCTTCAGAGTTGGCCACGCCCACTACAGCCAAAACCTCTACGCGCGTGGCTACAGAGGGAAGGCCTGGAGAGCGAACCCCCCCAGTGACTTCAAGGCGGGTGGGCCGCGGGTGGGCCTGGAAGGATCAGGGAGGCATTCAAATGCCTCCCTGTGCCTTCCCCGGCCTGTCCAAGGGCCGGCTTGCCCAGGTTCCCCGCAGCCGCGGGGCGCCCAGGAAAACCAAAGGGAGGCAGTTTAAACTGCCTTCCCTCCCCTTCAAGGGGGGGGCTTGCACGGGCTCCCCAAGCAAGCCAAGGGAAGGCATGGGGGTGTGGCCTGATATGCTAATGAGATGTGCTGTCAGGGGTGTGGCCTGATATGCTAATGGGTTTCTTCTGTTGGGTGTGGCCTATTATGCTAATGAGTTCCTGCTGGGCTTTTTTTTTTTTTTTTTTTTTTTTTTTTTATTTTTTTTTTTTTTTTTTTTTTTTTTTTTTTTTTTTTTTTTTTTTTTTTACAAAAAAGCCTTGTTTGTATGTATAAAATAATATATGCTGGCTATACGTACATGCCTATCCCGTTGTTAATCTTGTTGTTAATGTAAAATGAATAAAACCATGTTGGGGAAAAACATAGTATTAATAGCATGCCTAATTAGTTAATTAAAACGACATAAATCATTGTGAAGGCAGCATAATTTTCTTGCTGCATGCAGGTGCTAACAGGAGGGAACCACCTCAGACGAGACATCCCCTCCTGTGTTTGAGAGAGAAAAGGAAATGCTCCTTCTAAACTCGTGCCTGCATCTTGTAGGCTTTAAGCATGGCTGTATTAGAAATCATAATTTTAAAGAAAAAAACTTAGTCCAATTGACACAACCGTTTCTGGCGCCACCTCCCAGGCCTACGAGTAGGCATGCCAAGTCCCCCCAGAGGGCCGGGGACCGCCCCAGAGGCCTGTTCCCCACCGCCGCCGGATCAGGCCCCGGGGGGAACTCCACCCCGACGTGCACGTCACCAGGAAGTGACGCGACCACACCGGGTCATGGTCATCTGAGGGAAAACTCTATGTTTTTTCTTCAGATGGTCGTGGCCCCGCCCCCAGTGTGCCCTGTGTGGTAACGTCACTTCCTGGTGATGTGGATGCGGCGTGTGCACGCGCACTCCTGGATCAGCCCAGGAGTCCCCGCTTCAGGAGAAGGGGGGACTTGGCAACCCTACCTACGAGGCCAGGTGGCCCCTTTGCTGACCGAGGGGCTGCAGATGAGGAAAAGACAAAGGAGATGGCTGGCGGGACACAGAAAAGGCTCAGACAGATGGTGGAGAAGAGACAATATTCCTTTGCTACTGTTGCATCTGCACAGAGTCGACTTGCAAAACTCTTCCAGCTGGGCAGGGGCCTACCACAAAAGGTGGACCGCTCTGCGGCCCGCTGTGATAATTTTGCCAAACACTTTTTGGATCAAATCTCTCACATCCACTCTGACTTGGTCTTGGACTCGATCCTGGATGGGTCCCAGGGTGCCGATTTGTCCAGTCATATGGGATACCTTTCAAGCTTGTTCTGCCTGAGGCTGTAAATACAATTCCTGGAAGTTAGAACCTACCACCGGCCGGCATGGTCCTTCAACCTCCTGGCTGCTCAAATCTGCTGGGTCAAGGAGGCTGGCAAACTGGGTCCAGAGACAGTAAATGCCTCCTTGAGAGGCATCCACTCCTGAAGAAGCTGACTCGGGATCCATTAGAGTTGAATCACTACTGTCCAGTTTCAAATGTACCATTCTTGAACAAAGTTATTGAACAAGGGGTGGCTGGGCAACTTCAGGGATTCCTGAATGAAGCAGATTTTGATCCGTTCCAGTCGGGTTTCAAACCTGGTCATGGACCTGGAACAGCCTCATTTACCCCAATGGATGACTCTGCCAGGAGATGAATGGAGTAGTGTGATCATATTAATCCTGCTAGACCTCTCAGTGGCTTTTGACACCATTGGTCGAAGTATCCTTCTGGATCGCCTTTCAGAGCTGGGAATGGGAGGTACTGTTCTGTGAGTGGTTTTGGCCCTACCTCGAGGACAGGTTCCGGAGTGTGGTGCTGGCAGACTGTTGCACCACTGTTGGCCTCTGGCCTATGGTGTCCCACAAGGGTCCATCGTTTCATTTCATTTATTTCTTCATTTCATTGGAACTGTATTCTGCCCTCCCCTGTGAGGAGGCTCAGGGTGGGTTCCAACAATATCCATACAATATATAATACCATTAAAACCAGTTTAAAACAACAGATGGAAACAGCACATTACTAGACAGTTACATTTAAACTCTAGAGGACAGGTTCCGGAGTGTGGTGCTGGCAGACAGTTGCACCACTGTTGGCCTCTGGCCTACGGTGTCCCACAAGGGTCCATCTTTTTATTTCATTTATTTCTTCATTTCATTGGAATTGTATTCTGCCCTCCCCTGTGAGGAGGCTCAGGGTGGGTTCCAACAATATCCATACAATATATAATACCATTAAAACCAGTTTAAAACAACAGATGGAAACAGCACATTACTAGACAGTTACATTTAAACTCTAGGGGTAAAAGGTTATAAATGTTTGACTCAGTTCATAAAGGGATCAATGATGAGAAGACTTGAGGTATCTAAGCTAGTTGGAGGATCTCCTCTCTTGGGTTTTTAGTTAGTAGTGGGTTCTTTACTTTCTCCTGTATGTGTAGTATTTTCCCTCCCTACTTTTCTGTTGTAGTTTTTGTAGTTGATAAAAAATCAATAAAAAATCCCCTCCAGGGGCATAAAAAAAAAAAGGAAACAGCACATTATCATAAATACCGAGTAAAATCGAATTAGATGTTTTGATCATTAAAATGGGACAAGAGTGCAGGTTCCCAGACAGCTACTTAAATCCAGGCCACTGATGGGAGGCCAGCCAGAAAGGGGCATCCACAGCCTCAGCTAAAAGCCTGGCGGAAGAGCTCAGTCTTGCAGGCCCGCGGAGCCCTGATCTCATACGAGAGCTCATTCTACCAGGTGGGAGGCCAGGGCCTTTTGTGGATCTCAGTTTTGATTTGTCGATCTCAGTGCTCTATGGGGCTCATATATTGGGAGAGGTGGTCCCAAAGGTATGCTGGCCCCAGGCCATATAGGGCTTTAAAGGTAAGCAACAGCACCTTGAAACAGATCTGGCATTCAATAGGCAGCCATTGCAGCTCACGTAGCACTGGGTGGATATGAGTCCGCACAGGTGTCACCTGTGTGGTCACATTCTGCACTAGCTGCAGCTTCTGGAGCAAAGTCAAGGGCAGCCCCGCATAGAGGGAGTTACAATAATTCAGTCTGGAAGTGACCTTTGCTTGAGTCACTGTAGACAGGTTGAGATATGGGGCCCGCTGCCTCTGATGGAAAAGGGCAGACCTGACAGTGGTGGTGACCTGGGCCTCCACAGAAAGAGAGGCATCCAAGAGCACCCCCAGGCTCTTCACCCTCGACGCTGGCACCAGTGGAGCCCCATCGAAGGTTGGGAGCCTGATTCCCTGTCCCAGTCCCCCATGACTCAGGTGTAGGACCTCTGCTTTAGATGGATTTAACTTCAGTTGGCTCTGTCGCAACCACCCATCCACAGCTTGTAATGCTGCATCCAGATGTCCTAGGGCCGAGTCCAGGTAGCCATCCATCAGTAGATAGAGATAGGTGTCATCCTCATGTTGGTGACAACCCAGCCCATACCTCCGGATAATCTGGGCAGGGGAGCACATGTAGATATTAAACAGCATAGGGGCGAGAACTGCTCCCTGCGGCACATCACATTCCAGTGGGTGCCGCCCAAGCACCACCCTCTGTCCCCGACCCTGGAGAAAGGAGGTCAGCCACTGCAAGGCAAGCCCCCATATCCCTGCGTCTGTGAGGCATTGGGTGAACACATCATGGTCAACTTCTCCCCATGCTTTTCATCCGGGAATTTGGGCTGAACTGCCACCAATAGGAAGATGACACTCAGCTCTGTCATTAGAGCCCTAATATTTAGGATGGGGCAAGAAGGCTCTTGAGAGTCCCTTGGACTGCAAGAAGATCAAATCAGTCAATCCTAAAAGAAATCAACCCTGACTGTTCCCTGGAAGGCCAGATAACGAAACTGAAGCTCAAATACTTTGGCCACCCAATGAGAAGGGAGCACTCACTGGAGAAGACCCTGATGCTGGGGAAGATTGAAGGTCAAAGAAGACGTGGACGGCAAAGGATGAGATGGTTGGACAGTGTCATCGATGCAACGAACATGAAATTGAGCCAACTTCAGAGGACAGCGGAAGACCGGAAGGCCTGACGTGATCTGGTCCATGGGGTCGCGAAGAGTCGGACTCGACTGTGCGACTGAACAACAACAACAAAGAAGGCTCACAGTATTATTGTGGCCTAGCAGATTGAACTGGAATGTCAGCCAAGTACAGCAGCATTGGTTGCCCTGTCACAGAGACCTTTTTAACTGGAGATGCCAGAGATTACATTTGGGATTATCTATGCACAAAAATTGTTCTCTATCACTGAGCCTCGCCCCTTTATAAGGATTAGGCCCTGCTTCCTGTAGTTTGCCCAACATTTTGATGTAAATGTTTATATACTACTCAGAAGAGATATCAAGCATGTGTATTTTGTACTTGGAGTCCCACGGGCCATATATCCATGGCAGAATATCTGCTTCATGGCAAGAGGTCCCTGGTCCAATCCTTGGCACCTCCAGTTACAAGGATCAAGTAGTCGGGTATGAGAAAGACCTACTTGAGCTTCTGGAGATGTCAGAACAAACAATACAGTCCTTGATAAAGCAATGCTCTGACTTAGGCCCTTTTCAGACTGTTCTGTTTTAGCTGCTGGTTACTGTCACGACAGAGCCAGGGGGCCGGGCAGAGAGGGAGAGTTTACTCTTCAGTCCCTGAGTCAAAGCCAGAAAGATCAAAAACAAGCAGAGCCAGCGTCCCAATACACAAAGCCAAGCCGTAGTCAGAGCGTTACCAAGGGTCAGAGTCCAGAGAAGCGAGTGTCGAATGTCAGGGTGCAGAGCCAAGGATCAAGAGCCAGAGAGTCGTCAAAACGTGGACTGGATTCAGGAACCAGGAAGTCAGTCAGTACAGGATCTCAGGAACAGCGTCAGAGGTGCAGAGCTTCTAGTCCGAAGGACTAGTTTGCCAGCATGATTTGCCAGCAGTCAGTGACCTGTTCAAATAGCGTGCTGGGTCGTTAACTCATTAGCACTGCCTTGCGAAGTCCTTGATTCTGTTAGAACTCCGGGCTCATTGTTCTCTGATTGCGCAAGCGTGCCTCCTTGCATCTGGTTGCCAAGTCCTGGTGTCTCTGATTCCTCAGCTGGCCGACAGGTGGCGGAGAATCGGGTGGCGTACTGCTGGGGCCAGGCACTGCCTGATCGGCTTCAGGTGCAAGCTGTGCTGGGGTTTGGTATTCATCCTCTCTGGCACTTAGGTTTGGCAAGGACTCTCATGCCTCTGATGATGTTAAAGGCACGGAGTCCTCCGTTTCAGAGCTCCCAGGTGCTGGATCGGGGGCAGGCATGAAACTTACTAACTTTTTTTCCTGTCATTTCTTGATTCTGTTAGAACTCTGGGCTCATTGTTCTCTGATTGCGCAAGCGTGCCTCCATGCATCTGGTTGCCAAGTCCCGGCGTTTCTGACTCCTCAGCTGGTCGACAGGTGGCGGAGAATCGGGTGGCGTACTGCTGGGGCCAGGCACTGCCTGATCGGCTTCAGGTGCAAGCTGTGCTGGGGTTTGGTATTCATCCTCTCCGGCACTTAGGTTTGGCAAGGACTCTCATGCCTCTGATGATGCTAAAGGCACGGAGTCCTCCATTTCAGAGCTCCCAGGTGCCGGATCGGGGGCAGGCATGACACTTACTAACTTTTTTCCCTGTCATTTCAGACAGACCCATTTTAGCAACTAGCTGCTTGCAGAATTTATGTTTTCATACAAACCTGGTAGTCTCCCATTAGTGAAGTGTGCCTGAGTCGTTGTTGATGTAAACTACTTTCTTCCATTTTCAACCCCCTCTTTGCACTTCTGAATTGTTGTAGTGTGCTGTTAGAAATGCCCATAGGTCTCCCTGGCTTTCTTTCCCCCACCCCTTTTCACCTTGTGCACAATCTTCCTCAGTTTTAAAAAATTCTTATGTGAGCGCTAAACCAGTCTTGCACTTAATGTTATAGCGGCATCACAGAGATCCCTGAACTCTCAGCCTCCTTTGCTTTGCCTTTCTTTCTTGGAACACACGGGCAGAGGCCATTTCGGGGGGGAACGCGGGGGATCGCAGTTCCCCCGGGTGAGCTGCTTCCGGCCGCCCCGCTTCTGGCCCTCATTCAGCCAGGAGGAGGCAGGAGAAGAGGGAGGGTAAGTTGCTTCCTTCCTGCCTCTCCCCACCCCTGCCTGCCTGGGGCCAGGGAGGGCCTTGGCGGGGCTTCCTCGCACTCCTGCTGGCCTTGCAGGTCCACCGCCGGGCCCCTGATGTCAGGGGGTGTGGCATATGCTAATGAGTTATGCTAATGAGTTCCCCTAGCTCTTTTTCGACGAAATGACCCCTGCACACGGGGATGGATTTACATGAGAGTAGCCCATTGACTTCAGTACATATACTCGTGTGTCAATCATGGGATGCTCTCAAACAGCAACTCTGAGGCAGAAAACCTTTTGTTTGCTAACACAGTTCAGAGACGGCTCATTAACGGAAGGAAATTGGCTGTGTGAAACCCCCTTCACTGTATTACTTTACTCGGAACTGAGCCGATGACTGATAACATCCGGTTTAAAATGGTAATGTGAGAACGGCCTTCGTATGTGGCAACTTAACGGGTTCAACATTCTAAGAAAGAAAAGCCAGGTCTCACACAGACCTCGGCTCCTGAAATAAAACTTGAACCCCCAGTTTCTAATTTTAATGCATTAACAGGCTTTTCCTGTCTGCAGTTTGCCCCCCTTCTTGGGGCCAAGTGCTCACCGTATTCTGGAAGTTTCACAAACTCGGAGGCTTCACTAGGTAAACTAATCCCCCAAGGATTGCTGGCGCTGACTCGGAACTGATATTGACAGCCAGGTGTGAGATCTTCAATAACGAGGTAGGTGTCCAAAGTTGAGGCAACAGACTGCTGCCAGACCTGTGATCCTGTGTTTTATGGGGAGAGAGAGAGATGGAACACTATTAAGTCTTACCTGTGACTCCAGACAGGGAAGGGAGCTGCCACCTCCTGGGATCTATGCTTCCCTACTCACTATATATTGGTACTAGCATCAAAGGACATTATCAAATTCTCTTGCAAGTCACATGCACTGAGAAAAAGTAGCGAGCCCTTATAGTTGAGGGCACTTTATACATACAGCAGAGTAGAAATGTTTAAATCCTGTTCTTTATGTGGCTTAACGACTAGACACATTTGTATAATCATAAATTCAAATGAGGTTGCACCACTGATTTATATAGGGGCATTATGATATTGGCTGATCTGTTTTCAATACCCTTCCTAATAATCCCCAGCATAGCATTGGCCTTTTTTATTGCAGTCACACACTGTCTCGACATTTTCAGTGAGTTATCTACTACAACTCCAAGATCTCTCTCTTGATCAGTCTCTGCCAGTTCAGACCCCAGCAATGTGTATTTATAGTTAGGATTTT